GATAACGCTTGAGCTCACATTGCTGCTCGAACAAATGTGTATTTGAATGCCCAAAACATAGAAACAATTGGTAATTCGCCGTATAGTCCAAGGTACTAGGTCACCTCTTATTTCTGCCGTTAAATAATAAATTACGGGATTTACGTTTTACATCGGTCTAAGAAGCGGTTGATGCCTTTAAAAATTAAATAACTGTGATCAGTAGATTGGAGAAAATGTTTTTAAGAATGGTTTTCGCTGTTTCAAAAATATATTGACTCTTGTAAAAATTATAAATAAATGTTTTTTTTGTAAATAATCAGTGTTTTACTTTACTAGCCTCAATGGAAAGAGAACAGCCCTCGTATGAACGCATTGTTTATTAATTTATTATATGAATGGTGAAATAGTGCTTAAGTAAAAATAAATTTATGAGTAAATAGTATAAATAAATTATAAATAAACTGTTTTAAATACATAAAATATTTTTAAAATAATCGTTACATTATTAATTAAAAAAGTTTTGATTGGTTAAAGTAATCGTTACATTATTAATTAAAAAAGTTTTGATTGGTTAAAATGAAAAACTGTATTATTAATTTATAGACTTAAACAAATTTAACTATAAATTAAATTATAATAAATGACAATTTCAAATTTCAATTTTCATTTGTCGAAACAATATGGCGTAAGTACTAAATAAACTATGACAGCAGCCAGGAATATTAAATGGGTGCATTGAAGTGGCGATAATAAAGATGAAAGGACGAACAAATTTTTGTCGTAAAATGCACCCCCGTCGAAAGCCCGCGTCACAATAAACGCCAAAATCATAATGTCCCTACGGGAGGCGAATGTATGTATATTTTACACTGACAGTGCCAAAGTACGATAAACAGATGTTACTTGCAGTCGATTTAGGACCTTTATTTGCAATGCAGGGAGATATTAATATTAAAAGTGGCCCTAACAAAGACTAAGTTCTTTATGTTTTTGATGAGACAGGTAGCAGTAAATAGACAGGTTAATCTTTCATTATCAACTCTGGTATTTATAAAAAATAATATTTAGAAATTGCAATAAAAGAGTTTCCCGATTTTTAAATTATGGCTCCAACGATTTAAAAATACAATTACATATGTTTATTGTCACAGAAATAAAATTTAAAATTAAAGTTAATTATATTGTATATTATATACTGAAGAAATAGAAAATATATTTCGCATAAAAACAAAATTACTAAAAGTCAGGGAAAAAGAAATCATAGCTAATGTAGTTAAATTTATTGAAAACGAGGCGGCCATAAATAGAGTTCAAATACCATCCTACGATTGTGAAGCTCGTGTTCTAGCACAACGAGAATATCAACATTTACTTATATCAAATTGAAAAGGAAGAAGCCCCGGTTGATTCAGGTATTACCTCCTATTTTTAACAAAAAATCGTGAAGAATAAACAAAAACGAAAGTAATACTTCACAAGGAGATTATAAATGATTTTGGCGTAATTGATAAACAACGAAATAGTATGCATGCAGTTTTTAAAGAAGCAAAAGTAGGGTTTAGAGGGGGACAATATATCAAAGAAATAGTAAAAAAATTAGTTTTTAGTTGGGAAAATACCCCCGTGCAACAAAATGTTGTTAAGGGAAAGTATTAGAATAAATAGAGTCAAATAAAACAAAAATATATCGCGAAGAAGGCAGGAACATTATTAACAGTGTTGCCGAATCCAAAATGTAAAATTTCCAATTACTTCATCCCAAATTTCCCCCTTTATTCACCCACGACTTTAAAAATTACCCACTTTTTTCCACCCACTAAAAAAATGTTTTTAATATAACTTTAATCCTGAAAACCAATCTAGTTAATAAAAATGAAAATAAATGTACGCATATCATTTGGTCTAGTAGCTAAATACACCCGACGGTGAGGGCCAATTAAAAAATAATCTGTTGGTTTAACGCCATTAATAAAGGAATTATTTTTATTTTGAATTTACCGCCATTTGTAAATTATCATATGCAGGAAGTGATGAGAAAACGGAAATGGAAGTTTTTGATAGTATAGTTTAAAAAATTGATTCCAGAACAAAAACAGTTTTATTATGATTTGTATATAGAATAACTGCGATATCTACACATTAAGCCAAAAAAATATTGCATAATAAATTATTATTATTATTATTATACCTAAATTATTCTTGATAAAGACGTCTTGCATATTTTATTAATAAGAAATCAAGAATTTGTCAAATTCCCAAAAATTCCCCAAAAATATTGTATCCACCCAAAATTCCCACCAAAGTCCAAATTTCCAAATTTCCACCCAAACGGCAACACTGATTATTAACACGGATGAAACACATTTACATAGTTCGCACACTCATCCTAAAACCTTAACGAAGTATTTAATATTCCAAATCAAAATTGAAACAAAATTTTAACAGACAATTTATAAAAGTATTTATATTAGTAAGCGAAATTGTTATTAGAATCTATAAAATAATTTTCTACGTCAATATCTGTTAGCTCTACAGCAAAAGTGTCAAATCCTGGGGTGAGAACTGCGAAAGGCCTGTTCAAATTGAAGACCTTGGTGAAAAAACCAGCAAAGTCCTAAAATCAAAATTTGTGGGAAATCGAGAAAAACATTCTAAATTTGGAAATAAACTTGAAGTTGGCCCAAATTTCGGTTTGATTATAGATATGATTGATATTTGATGTACGGTCGAGTATAAAATAGATATTTTGTAAAAATCACTCTAAAAGTGATTTTTGAAAATTGGGACTACATAAAAGAAGAGTCTGATTCATAAGCTGCGTCTTCTAAGGATTCCTCTCGGGCGTCTACCTCCTTCACTGCGGGCTGTGGCCATGGTTCTTCCCCAACTTTCCCGAATATTCTACTGTAGTAACCTTGGTATTCTTCTGGAACATATTTCTTAACCAGTAGCTTCACATCTGCCAGCTTTTTTCATTTATTGGCCAAGGGTAGACCTGGATCATTTTTGTCATAGGTAGCGATAAATTACAGCCAAGTTTAGTAGCAGAAAACTTGGTGAAAACTGGAAGGGAAACAGTAGTGCTACATTCAATGAAGTTAGAACCGCTTTGATATTTAAATAATCGGAATGTTGAGATAGAAAATTTCGTTTTATTATTTTGGCTTGTAAACGTTGCTTTAAAAATGGGTTTAAAATGCTCATTGAAGTCCATTATTATGTCTTGGGTTACATCTATAACCCAAAACTTTTTGTTAGTTTTTCTTACTAGTTCTTCTCATTCGGCAGGTACATAAACTCGTTCTCTTCTCCTTTTCTCTTTCTCAACTAAACCAAAGGAGCAGTCACAGGGTAAGAAACTATGTCCAGGCTCAGGATATTGATGAATAATTTGAGTAATATTTTTAATACACTGATTAACCAAAATGAACAAATATTTAGTGATAGTATGATTTTTGTTCTGTGCAAACTAGTTTTCAGAAAACAGGTATAATGTTGTTACAGAGTCAGAAGGGAATATAGTAATATAATGGTGAAGAAAACTTATGACTTCGTTGCTACTTTTTTTGGATGTGGCCTCGTCGTACATGTAAAATGTTGATAATCCGGTTTTTCCTGAGAAAATACAAAAATTGTATTGCCACAGCTGTCGCTTGTAAAAAACCTCTCCCGCCGGAACATGGGGGAAAGGAAGGTTCTGCTGATAGTCGAAACAAAATCTCTACTGTTTCATCTGTCTTAGCAAGCTGATTTTCTTCTTTCATCAACGTATAGAATGCTTCTGCTTCTCCGATATGTACTGTTTTCTCTGTATGTAGTACATGTTTGGCCTCACGATCCTGCTCTGCTGCTATTAAATTCTCTAACCTATCGCATGTCTGACATGTGTCCGAACGAGAAGAGCCAAAGCTTGTTGTACTTTTCGCAAAAATGACGAAAGTAGAAATCATACGAAACTTTCGGTTGGCATTTTTCTCCACGTTCAAGTTTTTTAGAGACATCTGGTTCATATTTTTCCAAGTATAACTTGTGCATCTTGGAAACATTCAAATCAGATGATAGATAAGTTCGGCGTTCGTTTTTCTCTCTACTATAATGTGATGAACGCTTGGGAAAGCTTAGTATATGGTTATCTATTGTAGCAATATTATTCTGAGAAATTTTATTTGGGCGGTTATTGTGCTTTCCCCTCATGTCCAGTGGCGCGGCGATTTTTTCTTTTAAAGTGGACCTTATACGATTTGCCCGGTGTCTGGTAATTCCATGTATTGAACAAAACGCTTGTCTGCAGACTATATATTCAGTGGCACTGACACGAATCTAAAACAAAACATTTTTTTGTCATATAAATAATGAAAAAAAAAACGATATGGTGTGTAGCATTGGATATTTTGATTTTTTATGCAGCGTAATATAAAAAATAAAGGTAAAAAAATGTTTTAAAAACTAGCTTTTATTACATGCACTGAAAAGTGGAAAATAATTTTTATACTTAAAAGCGATGGGCGCAAATTAAAAATTTAAACTTCACGATAACAATAGTAAACAATTTGTGCCCATCGCTTTTACTATGTGGGTTGTAAAATTTATGTGGCATACAAACTTAAAAAAATAAATAAATGTTGATTTCTTACTTACGGTTAAAAAAATTAAAAATTGTTTACTTACGCTTTTTTGAAGATCTGTTCGGGTTCTTCAAAAATACGTTGAAACCTATCAGAGGACTAGTTGACCAGTGGATAGTTTAATAGTTTTATGCAACGAATAATTTGGATTTGAACTGTTCCACTGGTTCTCGGATGGTTTGTATCGAGTTTTAAAGAAACCCGAACAAACCTTATATTACACCAAGAAAAAATCAAAATTACGGACGCTAGACACCATTTTGATGTTATATGAAAAACCCGTGAATGAAAAATATTGTTTACTTTCGATTTTTTCACTTTACACCACATTTGATTCATATGAATCCATACACAAATACATATATAGAAGCTCACTTAATTTTTGTCATTATTTTATCCTACCTTGTAATGGAAAGTCACAGTCTTTGCTTTGCCGGTTCCTGTTCTCAATCTTTTTCTTGCCACCTTGTCTACCCGGATTAGGCCACCCAAGTATAGGTCTTGCTTTTCCTTACTAGCTAAGCCATTAGAGTCCTGTAAAACTTGGTTTCTTTTTTCGGTACTGATCTTTGAAAAACATTTGCGACGACAACCGCAATCATTACCCACTTTTCTCTCTGGTAATAATTTTCCACTTTTCACGGTAGTGTACGCTTCACCTTTTGCCATTCTCACTTTCCTTATATTTCTTTGCCATAATGCCTCGTTTCGTATTCTTTTTTTCCCTTTCTTTCTACAAGGAGTACTTACATTGGCTGGTAAACTAGGCCTGTTTACAACTGGTGTCAAATTCGGATTATTCAAAGGAGTATTTTCAAGTTTCTTGCGTTTTTTCGTTTGTTTTTTAATTTTTCTGGTTTTTCCTCGGCTAGTACTAGGCTGATCGCTATCAGATGGCACATATTCACTACCTGATGACATAAAAGGTTCTTCCTCATCAGATGACATCATTTGTGATATTATCACACTATTAGTTTACGTTACTTCACACGATAAACAACAGATTACGTTTACAGGGCACGCGAACGAATAAGAAACAATAACATGCCTCCCGTCTAGTAAGCGGAGCGCGCGATCGTCAACGGTCATGTCCTCTCACTCCGCGACTATCAGCTTTGGTGCAAAAATCGACCAAGTCCTGGACATGACTGGTTTTTGCCCCAAAGAGTATGGTCAGCCAAGTCCTTCGAGCATTTCAACCCATTAATATACGTCGGACTTTTCAGATTTTCGCACCAATCGATCAAGGATGCTTTAAATTATATACCCAGTGGAAAAACGCAATTTCGCCCAAAAGTGGACTTGGCCGGTTTTTGCACCAAGGTCTTCAATTGTGTGTGCTTTCTACCAATATTGTATCGCTAGTAAATAAATTTTCATTTCTAGTGTCAATAAACAAAAGTTCGGCACAGAAGAATTTTTTTTTTCGTTTTTAAATAATCGCATTTATTATTAACTGTATTGCCGTTTAGATACGACAGGTAGGTTTGCTGATTTTAGTATAATTATTAAGCTGGTTATAGGTAATTAAAAATATTAATTAAAATTAACTGCAATCAATGTTAAAACTGGCAATATAATTTTAATCAAGCATACCCAATAATTGAATTTGGTATTAAATTTTATCGATATTGGAAAATATTAAAATATTTCATTTAAATCAAATAAATATTTAATATGAAATATTTATAGGTAATGATTGTATGTGTCAATATTTACATTGAATAGACCAGAAGTTCTCCATCTAAATCAATCAAAAAGTTTAAAATTTAAAAATTTTAATTGGAATTCTTCAAGAATCACTTCACATTGCTCGAGTGGTGATCTTTACTTTTTATATTCTTCGATTTCATTCTTACAAAGTTTCTTAATAAAATGATGACCATTATCAAAGTACTTCTAAGATTCAGATTCTGGAATCGAGAACGAAAATGTTATACAGAACTTTTGAGTGTTGACATTCGCAATTTTCCCGGAAATATATAATTTGCATCAAACGTAGATAATTCTTCGTCATCTCGCTAAAAAGAGAAACAAGAAAACAAAATATCTAGTGGAAAATTACCACAATTATACAAACTGCGAACTAATATAATTTGGGAAAATGCAATACAGACTAAAGTAGAATTACATAATATTCAAGTTGTTCAATTAGTGCAGATGTAAGCCCTTTGTGTTCTGACGGATTTTTCGAGAGGTGCTACCAAATCAAGGCGCAGAAAGGATAGGATATAAAAACCAGGGCCGACGAAAGGGGGGCTGGCGGGACAAATTCCGGGAGCCCAAGCACAAGGGGGGCCCGGCAGCTAAAGGTGAAGGACGTTTATTTTTTTAGAAGTTCGCCACAAAAGGGAGGACCTGGTTTATGAAAACTACAAGATAAGGACCTTTCTTTTTCTTTTTTAGAAATGCGTCGAACGGGAGCTTACTTTTTTTTATAAAATTGTCCCGAGGCCATACCTGGCTCTGGGTAGCCCTGATAAAAACCAGCATTAGTAGTACCTATAATTATTATTACTGTTTTTTCGCGGTACACTGTTTTAGTTCTTAGCGTATGTTTTAGTTATTTATTATGGGTCTCGTTTTATTTTTACAAGGAATAAATAAGGGATAAATAATTTTATTAATAATCTTATTTTAGAAGATTGGAATTATATATATATATAGACTCTCTGATACTAATCTAGCTTTAACAGCCGTTTGCACCGATTGTAGTTAAGATTTAGTTAAATTTTAATTACCGATTAAAGTCAAACACCCGTTGCACCGCATGTTTTAACAGTAAATTAAGGTTTAATTAATAGTTAAAGATAACTCGCAGACAAGGCAGAGTTTAAAACGTTTGACAGAAGTATTTGAGGTTAGGTCGTTATTGTGTCTATGTGTTTACTGTATTAACATTTTTCTTTTGAAAATAGTTAAAATAGGTAATTGTAATGGATTTGGAAAATATTTTTTTAAATGATTTTGAAGAAGAAGACGAAGATGATCTAGCTATCCTAGATATAATAAACTTCGGAATTCCAAGAAACATTAATGAGAGACAAAATTACTTTGATACAATGGATGCAGCAACATTTAGAAAAAAATTTCGTTTGTCCAAAGAAGCAGTGCGAAATGTTTTATTGGAAATAGAGGATGAATTAGAATATCCTTTTGATTTGTAATTAAAACAAAATTTAAATATTGTGTGACACAAGGGTTATAAATTTTATTTTGTAGGAATAATTGTGTCTCTCCAATTAATCAATTGCTTACACTATTGAGGTTATTTGCTACTGGCGGACATTTAGATGCAGTGGCAGATTTTGCTGGGATGCATACATCAACCGTTTCCAGAATTATAGTGAGAGTATCTGAAGCAATAGCTAGACTTGCTCCTAATTATATATCAATGACAAATAATATGGATGACATACTGAAAACCCAAGAAGACTTTTTTGATGTAGCACGTTTTCCAAAAGTTATTGGTGCAATCGATTGTTCCCATTTCAGAATACTTTCACCAGGTATTTTGAATGTTTTAAAGTAAATGAAAAATGTAATTAATGTTTGTTTAGGTGGACCAGATGCAGAAATTTATAGAAACAGAAAAAATTACTTTTCTATTAATGCCCAATTTATATGTAATGCAGAAATGAAAATAATGAATGTAGTAGCAAGATGGCCTGGAAGTGCACATGATTCGACAATTTTTAATAATAGTAATGTCAGGAGAGACTTTGAAAATAATAGATATAGAGGTTGTTACTTGGTAGGTATGTATGGGTATCACAGTTTTTAAGACATAAAAATAATGAGTTATTATTTCAGGAGATAGTGGATATGGTAGCTACAGATCCTATTTAATGACGCCACTGTTGAATCCTGCTACACAAGCTGAGCAACTATATAATGAAAGCCAAATCCGTACAAGAAATGTCATTGAAAGGCTTTTTGGGGTCATCAAAAGGCGTTTTCCCATATTAGCTTATGGGTGCAGACTAAAAGTAGACACTTTCCTCACTATTATAGTGGCAGCATCAGTCTTACATAACATTGCATTAACAATGAATGAAGAAATTCCTCCTTTACCTGAAGAAGTAGATGAGCACATCTTAAATCAATTAATTTTGAATGGAGAAATACCAAACTTAAATAATGAAGCCACTGATAATGATGTATTAGCACTGACAAGGAGAGGTTTGATTAGTGACTATTTTGAACATATGTTGTAAAATGCTTTTATTTTAATTGTATTGAATAAATCTAAAATGTTTAATTTTTTATGAGAAAATATATTTTTCATTTAAGGTTTTGGAATATATTCTTATCCAGTCACCTTTACATAGAGGTCTTCAATTATGTATAGATTATATAAACCTGAGAAGTCTGAAAATAAACAAAATACCAATAAGTTGTTTAATAATTTGAATAGATATTTATTCATTTAGTTTCAATTACACAGGAGTTTCCATTCAAGAGATTTAACTGAATTGATAATTCTTATTAAAATTTATATTTTATAAAATTGTAGCATCCCAGAATAGTGTAACTTTACTATATTCCTTACGTCTCAAAACTAGAATAGGTAGACAATTCACAAAAAAAAATATATTACATGTATATAAAAAATGAATATATTACAAGTATGTACAAAAATGTTAAGATGTCATACTATTTAAAGCATTAAGCTGTGCTTGTTTAATATGGACATCTAGCTGAAGAGCTTTCTTTTTTAATTCGAACTCCTCAATTTCTTCTCTTTCATGGCGTTCTCTTTGTCTCTTCTCCCATTCGGCCTTATCTTTCATTTCTTTTTTTTGAAATTCTAATATTTCCAATTGTGCCTCCATAACATTTTTTTTTACACTAGCCACTTCTTCATATCGGACTGCTACGTTAGTAGTGCTGCAAATTTCTGGCCGCCTTCTCCTGGTCCATTTTTTGTTCGGTGTATTATTTGGGGCTTTCAATTCCACAGTAATAGGAGTTTGTAACTGTTTTGCCGTATATGTTGTCCAGTCATGAGTATTAGTATTTTCCTAAAATTTAAATAAATAGATAATAGAAGATATTTTATCTGCATGTATACATAGGTAATAAATCGTTAATCAGGCTCGCCTGAAGTAGGTACTAGAAAGTGATGTAAAACTTTTATTTCAGTAATGTAAGCATTATTTCATATAAATGTTAAGTAGGAATATAGTTCCCAGGGCCCCTGATTAAGGGTTAATATTGCAGAAAAATCTTATATTTATAATATAAATTTATTTACTTTATTATTATCCTCGTATGTGTCTTGGTTATCTATTTCTACGTCGCTGTCAATCTCTTTCTGTGGTTCATCGGGTTTATCATAAATAAACTCAAATTTGTTTTGTTGTGGGTGTTCATTCATCTAAAAAAACATAATATAAGTATCAAGAAATTAGTAGGTACTTCTTGTTTAATACATCAATAAAAAATTACAGTAGGTACTTACCATATCACTATCAAATTTATTTTCCAACCCTACCACAGTCTTCTTATTTAAAATATCCAATGTTAATTCAAATGTTGGGTCTTTAACAATAGTAGCTGGTATTGGTGCTCCTCCCCCAGTTCCAAAATATTCAGCTCTATTATTAGCTGCACATTTTCGAGTATCCTTTTTTTTTATTGGTATAAAACCGTTTTATAACATCGAGAGATCTATAAGTATCAGAATGTGCATTAAACTCTCTCTCGATCATTTTCCAGGTGTGTTCTTTCTCTTTCCAACTCAGAGCACCCGTTTCTTTACTTTCAATAATGTGTTTGTATTTTTTAATAACGTTCAAACACATTATTTTTTCATTCAACGAAAAGTTGGCACATCTTTTTCTTTTTTCAGACATGTTTAACGTTCGATTGGTTTATAATTTAATCGATTCAGATGGACTGTTCTAATCCGGCAAAACTTCTCACTTACTTCACTTGACTTACTTAAC